CGCCTGGGTGACTATGTATCCCTACCATATGTTTTGAATACAAATTCGCGGTCAAATTCACCTTAGCACGTCAAGGTTTGGACATAACCTCAAAAAGCACTCCAAAATCCACTACACCCGTTAATCAGGATAATCCCAAACGATTCTAAACCTAAAACCTGCAAACAATAAACTCTTCCACAAAATATATAACTTCATAATCCTTTACAGCCCTAACCCTAAAACCTTATGACCGCATAACCCTACATCCCCGTAATCAAAATAGTGGAACAGTATCACTCAATCTCTCACCGCGAAACTGTTAATGGCGTTGATTTCACAATCAAATAAGGAAGAAAGGAAAGAATGATATAAAAACAATATTTTTTCATGCAAAGTTCCTCTCTTCTTTTGGGTAAAGGTATCTGAAGAAATGATCGGAAGAGAGAAATATGCATTTTTTTCAAAATTACGTAAATATAAATTGTACCAATGGCAGTCAAATAAAAACCGAACATAAAAACGTCTAAATTTATAAATGTAGCTAAGAAGTCGACGTTTTAAGTAAATTAATTAAATTGGACGCCTTTATGTTTGGTTTTTATCTAAACCATTCCCTTATTTTGAACAAGTGTGTAACTTTTATGTTTGATGAACGTTTTGCCTTAACTGTACATATACAAAGGTGGCAATAAAACAATCTCTAAATAGATGTACTCAAGCAATTCCGTTTTAAGAGAATTTAGAATTACTTTCTGAAGCTTTAATATTGAACTGAACGGGTAAAACAATTCACCCTGGATAAAAATAATCGACATCGAGAATCTAAAAGCAGTCGGTGTAAATTAAAAGAAGTACGGAGAGTACAACGTCTGTGTAATTTTCTACTTTTAAGTTTGGTTTGATTCCTAATGGAGCACAGGCTTGTGGCGAATTGAAACAAGCAAGCACTTACTAGAAAATTTTCCGCTTTATCGTATACAGTGTGTTGCGTTATGTTATTCATTCTATAATATACTTCCTTTCTATGCTCGCGAACAGTTAATTTAGGAATTCGAAAAAGATTGTTAAAGGTGTACGTTTGGAGCGCGGCGTTGTACAGGTGCGAAACATGGACAATGGGCGCGGCAAAAAAGGAAAAATGTTAGAAATGTGGTGTTACAAATGGCGAGGATACCATGGATAGAGAAGGTTAGAAATGAAGAGACAGTAGAAAGAATAGGAGAACAGAGGACTCTATGGAAGGCAATAAGAAATAGACGAAATAGGTTGGTAAGATACCTTGTCAGGCATGAAGGTTTAGTCAGAGACATATTAGAGGCAGAAACGGGAGTTAGAAGGGGTAGAGGTAGACTTAGATTAGATTACTGTTCGCAAATAGTTAAGGATGTGGGTTGTTCTAGTTTTAGGGAAATGCGAAGATTAGCTCAGGGTAGGAAAAAGTGCAGGTGCATGTCCAACCAGTCTTAAGACCTTATGATAATAATCAAGAACATTAAGTTAATATTCACCAATCAGTACTCTGCAATTTTTCTATAGAAAACATTCTTACCATTAAAGCTTGATTCCCACTATTGTCAAGACGACGGCAGGCAGTTTTCCGTCGGATGTCCGACAAAATATTTTTCAGTTTAATAAGTATTATTCATTCACACTATCGGTGACACATATTTCAAAAAAGAATACATTCAGTTCGTTGGTAACAGAGATGTGCAAAATGTTTTTTTAAAAGTAAGTAAAAACGTATTTCACATAATGTTTGATCGGCGATACTCGCAAAACTTTTAACGGCAAAAATGTATTTGGCATTTCACAAATAGAAAATAGGTTTGGAAAAGTATTTTAAATGAAATACAAAATGCTTTTCTCAAAAAAGTATTTAAACGCAAGATAAAAATAGTTATTTTTTATTTTGTATTTGCATTTTAAATGCAAGTATTTCAAATAAATCACATTTCTCGTTGGGAATAAGCAGAAGTGTATTAGTCATTAATCTACATCTTTAAATTGATATTTAGGCATTCTGAAATATTGATGAAATTTTGTTTCATCGTCTAGCATAAGTTCATTCAATTTTTATTTTCAATAAACTTGTATATAGGTACCTATTTTTTCGATTTTCCTGCTTTTTTATCTTCCTTTTCTTCTTTATCACCTCAACTTCTACTTTAAGCAAAATGGCACATTTGCCTACATCAGGAAGCAAATAATTTTTAAACATAGCGATAAAAACGTGCTAACCGGGTAAAATTTGCCGAAAAACTGACGGTCAGGTGTTGTGTAATGCGAATAAAACACAAAATTGACGGACGGTTGCCTGTGCCGTCTAAACCCATACTAAGAATCAGCCTTACGTAAGAAACACATTCGCTCAACCGTTTTTTCATCGACTGAGTTGCAAAATTGGTCTCCACGAAAAGCCCTTTTCATTTAATGGAATAATATATAACCTATGTCCACTCTGAAGAGCCGCTATATTATATTACTGAAAAATTTTTTGAAAACGGTTGAATAGTTTCGGAGATTCGCTCCTAAATCCAATCTCATAAGTTTTACCTCTTTTTAATAGTACAGGAAACAGAGCCTATAAAACATTTTTTTATTTAAGTATGTATGTAAACTGAATGGTTAATGTCTTAAGGATGTTTGGGAGGTACAATCGGAGACAAGAGTATATAAAATTAGAAATTCGTGATTAATTAGGTTTTGCAGCATATCATGAGGTGAATAAATATTATCTATAGATACTAATAAAAAAGTATACGGTTTGAGAGAAAATTTGGAATTTGACCAAAAACTTTGAATAAAATAAGAAATAACGAATAATATGGAAAATTTTTAACTGACTTTTGGCAGTGAATATGCCTTGATTTCAACTTCGAAACAAAAAAA